TAATAGATGTATACGATCAAATGAAAATATTAATTCTTGAAAAAATAATTACAATTGTTTAAAAATATTAATTCTTGTATAATTGATGCAGATGTCTTTAGAATATGTTCTCTCTCCAAAATAATGGTTTTCTGGTACCATCCTTCAGTATCCAAATCGTCAATACGTTCAAGATTTTGTTGATTTCATAGATGCAAATCAACAATGTTATTTGATGTGTAGTAATTTTTATGGATTTATATATGGAACTATTTTCTAAGGAGACGAAGAACAATTTACTAGCAAGTTGGTACACGAATTTATAATGAGACTTGTGCATTGTGGCAAAAATAATGAACTTTTGATACGGTTAGATTACCATCTTGCTAGGTTTGGCTTGCAAGAATTTTGCCTCGTTACTGGACTACCTTACCATGAACCATCCGTAGAAATTGAATATAATGACGATCGTCTTAGAAATCAATACTTCAATGGCAAAAAAAAAATAGCAATAGAATATTTTTTGAAACTTTCCACATGTGTAAAGATACAGAAGATAAATTTAAGCTGGGATTAGTTATGTTGGTTGAGTTTGTGTTAAAACCGACTTCACGACAAGTTGATTATAGAACTCTGGGCATGGTTGAACATTTGGATGAGTTCCTTACGTATCCGTGGGGTCAGATAGCATATTTCGTTTTGTTAAATTTATTGAAAGAGTCACAATTGGAAAGAATACTAAGAATGCAATAGAATGGACAAACAGAATGTAAGAAGGCTATCCACTCGCATTTCAGGTATTATGTTCCAATTCTAATTACTTACGTATTATGTATAATTTCTTTGTACAAAGAATAAAATTTATACATCACATTTCTCTTTCTTTACGTTGCAGTATTGGATATATGAAGCATTTCCATAAATTGGACAAAAGTTTGGTCGCCGTAAATACAGAACGGTGTAGATTCCATGAATCTATAATTGGAGGCCTAATATTATACTGAAAGAATTGGCTGTTAAGCAATTTTTGGATACTTAAGATGTATGAATTTTTTATTTTCAATGTAGAATGACATTCGCATTTTATTATTAACAAGTTCAATTAAACAAATGGATTCTGATAGTTTGTTATGATTACAGATCGAAGTCATTGCAGTGTTGCAGCCTACAGAGGAAGAATTACAAACACCCTGGTACACAAATCTTTCACTGCCAGCTGATGATGAACATAAGATATTAGATGCCATTGTCACTGGAGAAGTAGATAATGTAGTACCACAAATACCGGATAACATCCGTGTGCAAGAAACGACCAGTCGTGGTACATCAAGAACTTCAACTGGAGTTGGGCCTAGTTCTGCTTCTGGTGCCTTCAGATATGTAACTGAAGACCGAATGGAAGAAATGTTGGGTATGTACAGGCAACATACGATATCAGATGTGTCAAATCTGTGTGGCAACTTGAAGGTAAAATTTGTTGAAGAATCCAAAGCCTTGAACCAGGATATCCTTGAAAGCCAAAAGCAACTGTTCGAACAACATAACAAATCGATGCAAGATTACATGCTATGTGGTATGCAGTTATACATGGATAATTCTCTATCAAATATGTTTAGCACTCATATGGCCCAGGAATCGCAACAACAAGAAGCCCATTATCAAGCGATTCTTCGCAAACAAGAAGAATTATTCTAGCAACAATAGGAGCACATACAGTCTTATATTGATACAAGTTTATGTTCTGTCAGATCTTACATTGACGAAAAGAATGAGAATATGCTAAATAGATTATCTAACTGGGAATCCAACATGGAAGCCATTTTAGGTTTCATGCAGCAGGATGTTCCTCTCTATGCAAGTCCAAATTCTACTGTTCAACCGCATGAGACATCAACGTCTCAACCAGCAAAAGTGTTGACATGCGAAGAAGAGAAAGGGAAAAGAAGATGAAATACACACATGTTTCGTCATCCACAGGCCATCCCTTAGAAGACTACGACATGAACAAGTACAAAAACATTAGGAATTGGATATCGAGAAATCAATCTGGGTAACAAATGTAACTCATTCTGAATAGTCCGAATGCTAAACATTATTATATCAATGTCAAAAATTATTTGTTGAATTATTTGACAGTAATTTAAATTATGTTATACAGTGCATATTTGGACGATGGCCGTGGCAATGTCTATGGAAGAGACATGCTAAAAAGTTTAATGGATCCGACGAAGGATCTGAATATTGCGGTGAGTGAAGGTTTACAATCACAATAAATTTGATTTCGTAGTTAATATGTCTAATATATGTTACATATATTTATTGCATTAGCATATTGAGTTGGAGCTGAAGTTATTGAGGCAGCGTATGAATGAAGATTGTGCTCTCATTAATAAAAAATATGCAATTTTGGATTTTCAATTTGAAGAAGAGTGTTGTCAGCAAATGAGGTGGCACATGGAATATAACCAGAGTGTTGAATCGGATGGAACTCGCCTACAAGGCTACGTCAACGGTAAATTGCCTGTAGCTGGTCGTCCGTGGATAGGATGCAAGTATTTATTAATTCCAAATTCATATCCAGGCAATGAATGTTATCTGTTTCTGGTCAATATTCCTGAGTGGAAATTCTACATATACGACTGCAGCAATAATGTTCCCACACCTGATGCAATCAAGGTACACGCAGAAGCAACATGCACAGTCGTTTAAGGATTATTGCAGTGTCTACCCCTGTCCACCGGATGAGATATAAAGGAACATATAAATGATCCAATGAAGATGGAGATTATACCTTATCTACCGTGTGCGAACAATAGGTGAGCATTTCAACTCTTGTTATTTACTACCGTAGTTAATCTATTGTATATACTAATTTTGACTAACGAAAAATTATTTATTGTACAGGCCAAATTGCATAATGTTTGTACTCAAGTATATAGAATGTTTCGTTCTCGAGCATCCAATAGAATCAGTTTCAACAGAGAGGATGTCAATATACAGAAGAAAGATTGCGGTCGATTTTTTGAATAACGAATACTTTCTTTATCCCCGATAGTGAAACAGTTGTCGTAGCTTAGCTGTACTTTGCTTGTGTGACTGTTGATGATCAGTCGGTTCATGATACCATCGTTTGCAATATGTATTTTGCTTTATGTGGTGGTACATAAAATGTATTTTGGTTTTATGTGGTGGTACGTAAAATGTATTTTGGTTTACACAGTGGTTTGCATATTTTGATTTATATGGTGGTATGTAATATGTTCTCGAACTATCATTCTAGACAAATGAAATATCAAGCGTCGAGATTCACAGCTATGTAATGTCGAGAACGATATATCAAACGTCCGAAAATCGAAGAAATGTAGAGAAATATCCTATTTTGGTCCAAGTGTCGTTCTAGACATTCGTAATGTCAAGTGTCGAGATTAACAGCTATTTAATGTTGATAACGACGTTACAAATGTCGAGAATGGCGACAAATGTCAATATAAATATGATCCAACCAAATTTAACTAAGAGTGAAGGCAACCAAATGGTGTATTAACTGCAAAAACTGTAGCAAGCAGGTTTATAACTACTATAGCAATTAAAGTTGGTGTGTCAAGCACAAGTAAGTTATCAACCATATTGATTTGAAAAAAGTTGTAAAATAATCACCATGAATGACTTCAACCATATTAGTTGGTGAGATATCTTATAGTGCATTCAACGGACAAGTGTTTCTCCACCATAAAATGATGGATTTTACTTAAATATGTAAATACGAGAATTTAACAAATTCATAGCACTAGTTAGTTTTTCCATTGATTATGTCTTCATCAACTCAACATACTCCTGTTCTTGATGTTACTATCACTTTCGATCCCCTCGGGTTGTCCGCGGATCATTGTAGACTCGGACTCGGATGATGAAAGTAATTTCTTTGTTCCATATGTTCGTCAACCTTCGAACTACCATCGTAGGGTTTGCCTTCGACCAATCCCTTCTCCAAATCTAATCGAGGAAATTGAACAATTCAAGTTCATCGTGAGATCGTCCCACTACCGGTCCAACCGAAAGCACATCATGTGTTGTTGGATGAAAATGTTGGAGCAGTTCCCGTCGAAAATGAAGATGTGATCATCATAAGCTTCGACGAGGAGTATGACAGTGATATGTCCTCTTTGTCCATCGTGGAGGATATGTAGAAGATGCAGTCATCGTAAGTAAAGTGTTTACGTACATATAGTAGTGCTATAAAATTCATATAGGTGATGGATATTTTTTGGGGTGATCACCATTTTGTATAATCGTTGTCTACGATATGTATTGGAGTTATGACTTCCTTTTGTTGTGATTACCATTTTGTCTGCTCCAATGACTTAGGAGAATGAGTCATTTATGGGTTGCTTTTGTATCCATTACCACATTGTGTCTATAATGATTAAGAAAATTCCAGTGATGAAATAGATATGTGCTTGTTCACTTATATGCTGAACAAAATGATATCGTAGTGAAATGCTCATAAGAATATATGGAAGCACCATTTCCCTTGTTGGTAGTTATACTCCAAACCTGGCCTCTCTTGTTTGTATCCATTATGACATTCTAAAATGAAGTGTTGTTTGTATTTAGTGAATGCCCATACGAATTTTCCTGTTTGTGCGCTATAAAATTTTGAACGACTAAAATAATATAAGAGAAAAATCATAAAGAATGGGATGAATCCATATAAAGGATTCAAAATGTATTACAAACTTAATTTTACAATAAGCAATTGCAAATAAGTGATATCAAGAGAGAACGAAGAAAGAAACAGAAAGAAGTAGAAGTCAAAAATATATTCAACAACATTTAAAATAAGAGGTAGAAAGCAAGTAATACAAAAGAAAAAAATTCAAAACATTAATAATTCATGTTATCATGGCATTTGACGATCGGAATACACAATGTCATTCAAGTATACGTGTCACTAGAAGATGTCAAATTCTGACATGTTTGCCTGTTATGTCCAGAACCCCCACATCGGCCGCATTTTCGTCTCAACGTCGACCTTTTAGTTCTTGACCTGGTGCTCTACGTATATTCGGGGGTAAAACTTCGATGGAACGAATAGACTGAGGAACAACCCAATTTGACTCTCGACCAACGGGGTGAAAAACTTTGTTGTACGCAGCTCGCCAATATTCTGTGGTGTAATAAGGGGAGCACAAATCATACAATGATTTTTCTTTTGCGCAAGCAGAGGGATGCATGTGAACATGGGATTTGTCGCATCTGAAACTCTCGACATGAATATGTGTTACCTATAAGGTCGACAGTACAAAGTTCGGTAGCTATACCTACCTCAAAAACGAGTTCGTCCAAATTTCGTACTGGTAAAGTTGTATCGACGTCGATTGATTTTCTCAATTCATCATCAATTTTTGGTGTCACAGTCGTACTACATTTCGTGGATGCACTTTTTCTCTCGTAGAACCATCGTTGCATTAATGACGTAATATTTTTGATCAACAAGGTTATAGAGAAACTTCTTTGTTGCCTTAAGACTGAATTCAGTGACTCCGCAATGTTATTCGTCATAACGTTGTACCGATTACCAACAAAATGTGCCCGTGACCAGGTGGATATACCTGCACATTCCAAGTAAGATACCATTAACGGTCGAATGGTTCTTATATGTGTCATGAACTGATCAAATTTCGATACGCGGTATGCTAGCGCTGCCCGCTTGAATAAGAAGATGACATTGCTACTACTATACCTAGCAATAAGATTTTTCTCGATATGCCAGATGCAGGTACTGTGGTGAGAAAGTGGGAACAACCTCGTAATTGCCCGCTTAATACTCTTCTTCCTGTCCGACACAAACACTAGCTGGTTTGAATCATCAACGATATCTTTCAACTTTGCAAAGAACCAATACCACGATGCATTTGTTTCCCCATCGACAACACTCCACGCAAGAGGATATATTTGTAGGTTAGCATCTTGCGCTGTAGCTACTAGTAGTGTTCCCTTATACTGACCCTTCAAATGACTTCCATCAACACAAATTACTGGCCTCATGTATTCTCGAAAACCACGTACACTAGGCCCGAACACTAAGAAGAAGTACAAGAACCTATTATTCGAGTTGAGTTCAATGTGTGCAATAGTTCTTGGATTTTTCTCGGTTAACATGTGACAATATGATGGCAATTTCTGGAAACTTTCTTCGGGTGTACCACGAAGAAATCGAAGTCCCTTCTCTTTAGCCCTCCACGCTTTGTTGTAGGTAATCCGTACACCAAACTCACGTTCCATATCCCCAATAATACCTGTAGGAACGTATGATTGGTTTGCATCGTCCAACCTTCGCATTATGTGATGCCCAATCACTGCACTCATTGCAAGAATTTGTGCATTTCGTCGAACGTCTAGAAAACATGTGTGCTCAGGTATGTACTCTCGAATCGTAAATATTTCTAAAGTTTTTATCTTAGAAGCTCGTACTAGCCAATGGCATGTAGTATCGACACAACACACAGTAAGAGATCTAGGATTCGACTTTTTAACCTTGAAATGAAACTTCTCTTTCAAAGCCTTAAGTTGAAGCCTTGTGTGTAACTGTTGTTTGCTAAATAATATCTGATTCTACACAATGTCCTCTTCATCAATCGACTCAATTGCATTTCAAATAAACAAATTGCCTTCACCTAAACGTTCATCCATATTATCAATCATTTGTGACTCTTGTAGTTCGCACATATCGACTTCATCGCGTCTACACAATGCATCTTCTATTGGTGACAAAGGCTCAACTCTGACATGCAGTTCGTGCTCTCCAGCATTATATTCATCTGCAATTACACACAACGCCGCTTCTGTGTGAATAGACATAAACCATTGCAAATCCTCATCGTCGGCTACATCAACAGGGGGTATATTCATGTTCGGAACTATAAATTTCAATTGAATTCGGAACTTCATTCTATCAACATTCAGCTTCTCGAATAATTTATGTACAAGCTCTTCATATATAATATCATGTCGAACAACAATTGATGTTGTTCGGTTCCCTAACCACTTTCACCTGTCGTCTATGTTGACGAATCTACCACCATACAGACAACAAATCTCTTAACATCTCCCATATCTGCATGTCATAAAAACAATACTGTTAACCACTAACGAAAATCGAAAACGAAAATGCTACCTGCATGCAATATGTGAATCGCTATACACGAAATTTTTCCAACTTACTCAAGTTTTTAATGTTATTGTCAACATTTGACAGTGTCGAGAATGATAGTATAAATATCATTCTCGACGTTTATAAATGTCTTGAACGATATTTATACTATCATTATCGACATTTATAAAATGTCGAGAATGAAATGACGGGATTTCATGCATTTATCATCTTCTTCAACTTCAACCACCATTTTTGCAAGAATTTATTCCACCATAAATGATATTCTAAATATAGAAGTATATTATCTAACTAAATTATTTAAGATGAATGGTATAAAAAATATATACTCAGGATAATTTCGTCCATTGAAAGGAAAAAATACCTTATCAAAAAATTGAGATTTAAACATATATAACAATAACTACTAAATAAAACTTATCAAAAAAATGAGAGTTCGAAGAAATAGAGTTCAAAGAAATATATTTTCTACCGACAAATGATGAAAGCCTAATCAGCTTCAAATTTCTATCACAGTAAATTTCTTAAAATGATTTCTTTGAAGTTGGAATCATATACTTCTTCGTATATGTTAATGAAATTTTTGCTTCTTCTTCATTTGTTCTAGAATAATTGATTAAAATATAATTAAAAATGTAAGCAAGTGGACTCACCTAGGTAATAGCAACATTATTGTGGCTTCTCATGGAAGTTATTTACTCTTCTTAAAAATTGTGCCAAAGTGATATAAAATTGATTAATCTTTTCATGAGGGTAAAGTAGACATTTTGATCTAAATATTGGACATTTTTTTAAGGATTATCAAAAAAGTACACTTTTCAACTCCAACCCTTATAATTGGACATTCTTGAAAATGCCTCAACATAAATTTAGCCCTTGTTTGAGCTCCATTTAATTGAGATGTTGAAAAAAAAAAACTTAATAGTAATTTTTAGAAGAATGTATATTTAAAGGTTGGAAAAATATTGAATTTACGTGTAGTATTATTTTACTAAAGAGTGTGTGATTAAAAGTTATTATTGAAAAATGTATTTTTGGTATAATGGAGTCCAAACAAGGGTAGGTAATATGTTTATTTAGATAAAAATCAATCTTTTTATTAAATTTTGATAAAAATTTATAAATTTTTTTAATAGATTTCAAAATTCTCATAATTTGATGAACAATACACTGTTAAAAACATATATTAGCTCACTTCCCTATAGATGAAATAATTTTCCGAACTCATCTCATGTTTTAAATTATAATTTTTTTAAGAACAGTTAGAAAGTTGTATTATATAACTTTCAAAAATATAATCGATTATTCGAATTTGTCATATTTTGACAAACTATATATCGTCGGGAAATTCTGATATGAAAGAAGGAACCAATTTGGAGAAAACATAACAATCATCGTTCATTAATGGAAATCTACAGATCATACTAAATTTTAATGTAAAAGTCCATGTTAGAACTATGGTGTGATTGGAATTCTATTTTGAAGATGATTGAGAATTCTAATTAATATTGACATTCAAAGAAATTCGATTTAAAATGTTTTTGAAATTCTATTCGAAATTTATTTGGTAAATTCTAATTGAAATTCTATTTGAAAACTCAGTTGGAGTTGAAATTTATGTTGGATTTGAAGAGATTAAGATATGGGTCAAGGAGAACTTTTCGACTCACTTATTCTCACCTAGCATTCGACTAGAGCTCGAAAGCTCAAAGAAGTAAAGCTGGTGCAACCCTGACACCAGCTCGACGCTCGAAAACCCAAAGAAGTGAAGTTGGTGTAAGCCTGACACCAGTCGGACGCTCGAAAGGTGGGACAACGCCCGTCTGACACTCGAGCTCCATATTCATTCAGCCTGAGTCCGTTTTCACATTTTGCACGTTTGGATCATTCCTTTCCATCTATCACTCTACTTTTAGAATTTGAAATATCCACTATAGATATTTAGCTCTTCATTATATTTAAAATTAAGTTAAACAAATAAAAAACACAAAATCATTGTAATTTTTTCTTCATATTTTAGTGAAATCTCCATTCCTTTGCTAGTTATTTTGTTCTTGAGTTTATGATCAATTGCTTCATATTATGTCATATTATTTTCTCGCCTATTATCACAACATATTGATATCATAATTATTTGATATTTTCTTTGTTGTTTATAATAAAATGATATTAGATCAAAATCTTATCCATAACGAGATTTTATTTTTTGGGATAACAACCATGAAATATGATATTTCGCTCTTGGATCGCACTATAAGACTTTTGTTTTAGCAAATAAAGAAATGAGCAATATTCGCTCAGATGGATTTGGACGATGGATTGTTGGGATTTGACAAGACACCCACAAGTTGGGATCAGATGAGAAATAACGGAGGGATCGAATAGCCCTACCTCAAAATTTTCTTTATCTTTTGAATAACATTGTTTAGGATGTTTTGAAGGAAAAGTTTGCTGTTGCATTATGGTTAATATGGAAGCAATTATGCATGATGAAGAGTCTTACATGCAAATTGCACTTGAAATTGCGTCTTTATTCTCATCGTATGATTGAATATATATCTCTTAAAGATCTCCTAACTATGTTTAAGGAAATCATCACTGATTTTGAAATCTTGGAGGTTAAATATGATGAAGCAGATTTGGATTTGAGTTTACTGTGTTCGTTGCCCGCTTCATAGACATGATCAAATATAGTCGTGTCACTCTCACTATTGAAAATATTTACGATGATTTTTATTTAAAGGAGAAGATGAAGCATCTCATTCAAATTGAGGATCGTGGAGATGGACTTGTTGTTTATGGTGGTTCTAATGGGGAAAGATTAAGGTCTAACTTCACAAATAAAATTTGTAATTATTGTAAGAGGAATAAGAACTTAGTTAAGGATTGCTATGAGTTGTAGAATAAAGAAAAATTGGCTGCAGTTAATCAGAATAGAAAGTAAATACTTCGGGTAAAGTAAGTGTTGAAGAAATGTTTCACAATGATGGAAATCTTTTGGTGATTTTTGGCGGCGATTCCAAAAATAAAGAGGATTGAATTCTTGATAAGACTTGTACTTTTAATATTTGTCCCAATTGAGATTCATTTACAGCATATGAAAAAGTTTTCAAATGTGTTGTTGTGATCGTAATCGGCTTGATTCATGGAAATGTCAGAACACTTGATGCAGTGCAACCTGTTCTTCATTTGAAGAATTTTTTTTTTTATCTTTTTTAGTACTTTCGACTTGAAAGCCTTCAAATTCAATGGTGAATGTGGAGTCCTAAAGATTCGTAAAAGTGCTAATATTGTGTTACAGGGGAAGAAAAAGTCCCAATTATATGTGTTGCAAGATACTATAGAATTTTTTTAAGGTCAATCAACATAAATTGGAGCTACAGGTGGATTGTGAGTTTGGTCCAGTACCGTTGAGTTTTGATTGGGGTCTACTTTGATGAATACATTTAAGTCAAGTTCGAAAGTTATAAATAATTCCGCATTGCCACTATTACCTTCGATGCCATGTATTCAATTTATGAAAACAAACCAATTTTTTAGAATATGCCTCCATGTAGGTAAAAAGATGCTGATTTAGTTAAATTTTCTTCGTTTGTAGTTGAAGGTGATGAATTTGTCAAAGATCCTTCAGTTGAAGAATTTAGTGATGATTCTATTACAGGGCTTGTTTTAGCCTTGTTTGGTGATTGTTAATTACGTTTGATTTTGCTGCTTTTGATTTGAGCATCTTTGGTGTCCAAGGATGTTCTCGAAATTTTGTTACTCATGTTTTAAGTTTGAATCCATTAGGGTTTTGTGGTAAAGGTGGAGAGTACTTTCAAATTAGAAATTTTGATGGAGAATTTCGTTTGTATTTTTTCGTTGAAGAGTTGAAGTTCATTATTTGTAGTGAAATTTGTCTCTAGGGAGAGAATCTTTAAAGTTTACTTATTATAGTAGAATTCGTGTCAATGTGGAGTTTGTTAGAATTAAGGTGTAACTCGAGTTCTATTTGGAAGATGATTGAAAATTCTAATTAAGGTCAACATTAAAAGAAATTCTATTTGGAGTGCTTTTGAAATCTTATTCGAAGTTTATTTGGTGAATTGTAATTGCAGTTCTATTTGAAAGCCTAATTGGGAGTTAAAATTTGTGTTAGGCTCGAAGAGATTAAGATATAGATTAAGGAGGACTTTTCGGCGTAATGCATGCTCGACTGGAGCTCTCGAGTGCCCAAAGTAGTAAAGTTGGTACCATCTAGTGCTAGCTAGATGCACGAGCCACAGGGCGGCTTTCGCCTGACTTTCGAGTGCCATATTCGTCCGACCTAGGCCCATTTTCGTGTCTGATAGGTAATGAGCATTTTTTCCATATATAACTCTAATTTTAGGCTTGAAACATCCCCTATATATATTTAGCTTTTCATCGTATTTTAGATTAAGTTAGACAAATCAAAAATATAGAATCGTTGTAATTCTTTTTTTTATATTTTAGTGAAATCTCAATTCCTCTGCCAATTTTTTTATTCTTCAATTTTGTGATCAATTACTTCATATTATGTCATATTATTTTCTCACCTATTATCACAATAAATTGGTATCGAGATTATCCGATATTTTCTTCATTGTTTATTACAGTCCATAAATAGATATTTGAGGAAGGCAAAAGTCATTCTCTTCGCAAAATGGAGTCACTTTATATTATGCATACAATTGTCTTAAGTGCATTATATTCAACTTTTTGACTGATTTGAGTGTTG